TGAGGAAATTGGGGAAGGAATCCATCACTCTAATCTATGTGGACTAACTGCTCATTGAGCTCTGGAGACTTGTGCAGTCAAGGATGAAACCCAACAGATCATAATAATAATAATAATAATAATAATAATAATAATAATAATAATTTATTTATAGACTGCCCTATCTTCCTGAAGGGACTCGGGGAGGCTTCCAACAAATGTGGCAAACATTCAATGCCAAAAGAAAATCATACAACATACAAGTCTCAACATAAGAAACATTGGGCTGGATCCAGACGATGCTTACTGTAGACCCAATGAAACCAACAAGATTACATGTATATAAACAGTGAGTCTTTAGTAAACCCTGTGAATTGATAGCAGGACTTCTTGTGGACACCAACATCCCATAGATGCCCATGTCCTATTGATGTTCTTTGTATACATAGGCAAAATCAAGCTTTGCTTCAAAAATATATTTTAAAGACATGGATGGTGGAATGTGTGAATGCAGCATCAGTGAAGAAGGAAAGCTGGCTGCAGTTTACTTTCTTCCCCTCTCCCACTGATTTAAATGGATCTAAATCAGGTAAGTCCAAGACACTGGGAGGGCCAAAGTTTGCCCATGCCTGATCTAGAGTGAACATGATTCATAACCTGAAGGCACACAACATAACAACAACAATAACAACATGCACTACTAAGACTCAAACCATCCTACTCTTGCCAGGGCTTAGGGTTGAAATCAAGCATTCTCCACACTCAGAAATCTCCTTCATAGAATCACAATAAGTGAAAGGGACTGCAGAAGTAATCTGCTCTAAACCTCTGCCCCAGTGCTAAAGAATCCCTGAACGCTGGCCATTTAACCCTGCAAAAAAGGAGAGTCCATCACCCTCAGTAGCAGTTTATCACTCTCTTGATTAGAAGGTTATTGGAGACTCAAGTGATCATTTCAACTCCTGTAGAGGATTTATCTGCATTATTTTGACCAGAGAGGAAAACAGCAGCAGTAGAAGGAGAAAAAAGGAAGGGAGGAAATGGTGGTACAGACTGAGCATCCTTTATTGAAAACACTTCAAACCACAAATGTTTTGGATAGATACTTTCAGATGTTTGCATATACATAATGAGATACCTTGGGATTGGATCCAAGTTTAGGTGCGAAGATTATGTCTGGTTCATCTACACATATCATAAATGTAATTTTATACACAATGGCGGCATCTTCACTGAAGACCAGTGGTTCCCAATCTTTTTTGACCAGGGACCACTTTGACCAGGGACCACTCTCCAACATTAGTACCAAAAGGGTTACAAATCAGTTTTTGGTCAACTTTAGATTTGGTTTGGTTATCTAGGGTGCCGATTCAGAAAATGGCATTGGATAGACCACATCAGCTCAAGTTTCCGATACAGAACATATGCCATCCAGTATTTGCCTTCTGCTCAAGAAACCATATTTAACAAACCTCTGCATTATAAGAGGGTTTCGTGAGACCAGTTGCTCTTGCTGCAACAGTGTAGTAACGGTGAGGCCACGGGCTACTAGTGGTCCACGGGCTACTAGTGGTTAGTTCTTGCGGGCTACTAGTGGTCCACGGACCACAGGTTGGGAACCACTGATGTAGACTGAGTGCTGTTTGACACCATTTTAACTGCCATGGCTCAATGCTGTGAAACCAGTCGCTCTTGTGCAACAGTGTAGCCACAGACCATATTTTAGTTCTTATGGACCACTGGTGGTCCACGGATCACAGGTTGGGAACTACTGCTGTAGACTGAGTGCTGTTTGACACCATTTTAACTGCCGTAGCTCAGTGCCATGAAACCCTGGGAGTTGTGGTTTGCTTTTATTCCTGTCAAGAGCGAGTTGAGAAACTGTAAGTCACGTCTGGTGTGAGAGAATTGGCTGTCTGGAACAATTCCATCAGTGCTGCTTCCGGAAAATCCTGCAAATCTCTTGGGTAGATAAGCGGACAAATGTCAGCGCTGCTGGAAGAAGCAAAGACCACCAGCACTGAAGTGATGGTCCTCCCCATCAACTCTACTGGACCAACCATGTTGTCTATATTCCCGACCACCATCTCCCAAAGCAGTTACTCTACTCCGAACTCAAGAATGGAAAACGGAATGTTGGTGGGCAGGAAAAGAGATTTAAAGATGGGCTCAAATCCAACCTCAAAAACTCTGGCATAGACACTGAGAACTGGAAAGCCCTGACTTTTGAGCGCTCCAGATGGAGGTCAGCTGTGGCCAGCAGTGTTGTAGAATTTAAAGAGGCATGAAAGAGAGAAATGTACCAAGAGGAAGGCGCGTCAAGCCACCCCCGACCGGGACCACCTTCCACCTGGAAACCAATGCCCTCACTGCAGGAGAAGATGGAGATCAAGAATAGGGCTCCGCAGTCACCTACGGACCCACCGCCAGGACATTGATCCTGGAAGACTATCCTACTCGGACAACGAGGGATCACCTAAGTAAGTAAAGACCTCATAAACTACAGTTCTCGTGACTCCATAGCACTGCCCGGGGCAGTTACAGTGGTGTCAAACTCATTCACATTTATTATTTATTTATTTCACTTACTTATACCCCGCCCTTCTCACCCCGGGGGGGGCATTCAACAGTACAGATCCAACCAATGTCCTGTACAGATCCAATACGGCCTTATTCTTCCTACCAGTTACCCAGATTCCTTCCTCTAATTGGCCCCGGAATGAACAGTCACAGACCCGTACCTAATATTATTGTTGCCTGCCATAGCACTGCACTTAATTCCCCTAGAATTTTTTGGGCTGGCACAAATCTTGGCCCGGCCTTTTAAATTTTTAAATTGCCTTGAACAGGCAGGATTACTTTTAATATATGTTATGGTGACAATTTTTATGCTTGTATTTTGTTTTGTTAATCTTACGGTTATGTTGTTTTTACTCTGTATGTTTTGTGAGGGAAAAACCCAGTAATAGGTTTTTAAACGTTGTTGTGTTACTGTTAATGTTTATTGCTTATTTTCTGTTATGAGTTTTATTGTTTTGTCTTACTTGTTGTTATTGTTTTTTATTATTGATGTATTGTGGGCTCAGCCTCATGTAAGCTGCACCGAGTCCCTTGGGGAGATGGTAGCAGGGTATAAATGAATTATTATTATTATTATTATGAGTTTTATTTTTATTGTTTTGCATTACTTGTTGTTATTGTTTTTATTATGGATGTATTGTGGGCTCGGCCTCATGTAAGCCGCACCGAGTCCTTTGGGGAGATGGTAGCAGGGTATAAATGAATTATTATTATTATTATGAGTTTTACTTTTATTGTTTTGTTTTACTTGTTGTTATTGTTTTTATTATTGATGTATTGTGGGCTCGGCCTCATGCAAGCCGCATCGAGTCCCTTGGGGAGATGGTAGTGGGGTATAAATGAATTATTATTATTATTATTATTATTATTATTATTATTATTATTATGTTACTTGGGAACCGCTCTGAGTCCCCTCGGGGAGATGGAGCGGTATATAAATAAAGTTATTATTATTATTATTATTATTATTACTAGCTGTCCCCTGCCATGCATTGCTGTGGCCCAATCTGCTGATCTGGAAAATAAAGTAATGAGAAAGTGTTGGTTTCTAATATATGTAATTTCTTTATGCTTATGGGTAAAGAGTATTTCTTGCTGTTTCTTTGTCAGGGTTGATGTGGAGAGTGTCTGATTTGCCCACCCTGGAACATGCAACATATCATTGTCCTTCTTTAAGGGTCCCTTTCAAATCTATGATACTATATCTGTGTGTGTGTGTCTGTCTATCTATCTATCTATCTCTCTCTATCTATCTATGGCTGGATGGCTCTTTGTCAGGAGGACTTTGATTACGTTTTCTTGCCCTGATGGAGTTGGACTGGATGGCCTTAAGTATTTTCCGTTGGTCATGGGGGTTCTGTGTGGGAAGTTTGCCCTGATTCTGTCGTTCGTGGGGTTCAGAATGCTCTTTGATTGCAGGTGAACCATAAACCCCAATAACTAAAACTCCCAAATGTCAAGGTCTATTTCCACCAAACTCCATCTGTGTTCATATTTGGGCGTATTGAGTGCTTGTGCCAAGTTTGGTCCAGATCTATCATTGTTTGAGTCCACAATGCTCTCTGGATGTAGGTGAACTACAACTCCCAAACTCAAGGTCAATGCCCACCAAACCCTTCCAGTATTTTCTGTTGGTCATGGGAGGCCTGTGTGCCAAGTTTGGTTCAATTCCATCATTGGTGGAGTCCTGTATGCCATGTTTGGTTGGATTCCATCATTGGTGGAGTTCAGAATGCTCTTTGATTGTAGGTGAACTATAAATCCCAGCAACGACAATTCCCAAATGACAAAATCAATTTTTTTGAGTGGAGGACATAAATTGGACTGTTAGGTGTCTTGTGTCCAAATTCGGTGTCAACTAACATTACATTTTTATTTATATAGATGTATTGTGGGTTCGGCCTCATGTAAGCTGCACCGAGTCCCTTGGTGAGATAGTAGCGGGGTATAAATGAATTATTATTATTATTATTATGTTACTTGGGAACCGCTCTGAGTCCCCTCGGGGAGCTGGAGCGGTATATAAATAAAGTTTATTATTATGATTATTAGGTGTTTAGATATTTTGCATTTGAAGCAAAGTTTGTGTACGCTGAAGCCATCTAAATGCAGTTTGGGATGCGTAGATTGTAAAGCGTTTATTTTAGAGCAGGCATGGGCAAAGTTGGGCCTTCCTCCAGGTGTTTTGGACTCCAACTCCCACCATTCCTAACAGCCTCAGGCCCTTTCCTTTTCCCCCTCAGCCGCTTAAGCGGCTGAGGGGGAAAAGGAAGGGGCCTGAGGCTGTTAGGAATGGTGGGAGTTGGAGTCCAAAACACCTGGAGGAAGGCCCAAGTTTGTTTATGCCTAGTATCCACTTCTGATGCAGCCTAGGATCGCATTGGCCTTTGGAGCTGCAGCATCACACTGCCGGCTCCTTCTCTGAGGAGGAGGAGGTCTACCTGGTGGAGGGCGCTGATGCCATCCGCGTTGGTCCCGTTGACGGCCCCGGGGTCTGCGCCCAGCATCTCCCTCGCCGCCTCCAGCTCGGCCCCGGCGCAACACGCCAAGAACTCGGCCGCCGCCTCGAAGCGCACCGCTCTGGCCCGCCGCCGCTGCTGCTGCTGGGAACCCGCTTCAGGAGAGGCCTTGGAGCCGGCGGGAAGAGGAGGAGGAGGAGGCGGGGCCGGGCCAAGAGCAGCACTCGCAGTAGCATTCTCCACCGTTGTTGCCTCAGCTTCGGCCTCAGCCCAGGCTCGGAGCTGCTCCCTCCGCCGAGCGCGGGCGCCTTCCCCCTCCGAGAGGGACAGCAGCGGCGTCGCCATCTTGTTCGCCTCCCTCCTCCTCCTCCCGCCACTGCCGCCAGCCCGGCTGGGCGGCCCTCCCGGCCCAGCTCTGCTCTCGGACTGAAGGAGGAGGAGGAGGAGGAGAAACAACGCCTCTGGGCTTCCGTAGAGGAAAGGGGAGGAGGAAGAGGAGACGCCAAAAAAGAAAAAAAAAAGATGGAGGAGGGAAATTGGCGCGTGGCACGACGGGAAGTGTAGTCCGGCTGCAGAACGAGGAAGAGGAGAAACAACGCCTCTAGGCTTCCGTAGAGGAAAAAAACAAAGATTCTGGATGTATTGTCGAAGGCTTTCATGGCTGGAATCACTAGGTTCTTGTGGGTTTTTTCGGGCTATATGGCCATGTTCTAGGGGCATTTTCTCCTGACGTTTCGCCTGCAGGAAGGAGACATAGGCCACTTCCACACTGCTCCTTTATCCCAGGATCTGATCGCAGATTATCTGTTTATCTCAAGTTATATTAGGTGGGAATATAATAGGTAAGGTAAAGGTTTTCCCCTGATATTAAGTCCAGTCGTGTCCGACTCTGGGGGTTGTTGCTCATCTCCAGAGATGGCCCTAGGTAATTTTCAACGGTATGCAAACAGTATTTTGCCCCCCACCACAAACCAAACACTGATATATATATTTTCTGTTTGTCGTGGGAGTTCTGTGTGCCATATTTGGTTCAATTCCATCATTGGTGGAGTTCAGAATGCTCTTTGATTGTAGGTGAACTATACATCCCAGTAACTACAACTTGCATATGTCAAGGTCTATTTTCTCCCAAGAGTGCCTCAAGAGCGCCCCTGGGCAAAATCAACTATACTGCTCATCTCCATTTCAAAGCCGAAGAGCCGCCGTTGTCGGTAGACACCTCCAAGGACGTGACCGGCATGACTGCATGAAGTACCGTTACCTTCCCGCTCCCTCTTCCCTATGACTTCCTCTCACATATTTATATCATGTCTCCTCTCAGCCTTCTCTTCTTCAGGCTAAACATGCCCGAATCTTTAAGCTGCTCCTCATGGGGCTTATTCTCCAGACCCTTGATCATTTTAGTCACCCTCCTCTGGACACATTCCAGCTTTTCAATATCTCTCTTCAATTGTGGTGTCCAGAATTGGACACAATATTCCAGATGTGGTCTAACCAAGGCAGAATAGAGGGGTAGTATGACTTCCTTGGATCTAGACACTATATTCCTATTGATGCAGGCCAAAACCTCATGTTTAACTTCTTGTCCACGAGGACTCCAAGATCTTTTTCACACGTACTGCTCTCGAGCCAGGCGTCGCCCATTCTGTATCTTTGGATTTCATTTTTTCTGCCTAAGTGGAGTATCTTGTATTTGTCCCTGTTGAACTTCATTTTGTTGGTTTTGGCCCATTTCTCTTAAGGTCGTTTTGAATTCTGCTCCTATCCTCTGGAGTATTGGCTATCCCTTCCAATTTGATGTCATCTGCAAACTTGATGATCATACCTTCAACCCTTCATCTAAGTCATTAATAAAGATGTTGAACAGGACCAGGACCAGGACGGAACCCTGCGGAACACTAGGTGGTTCAGTTTATCTTGTAGGAGGTGGAGTTCACAGATTCTTTTTTCATGTCGTCCTCCACATGTTTAATGAAGTTTGTGACACAAACAAAGTTTGTGGAGTAGGACCACTACTTTGAAAGTCAGGACTACACTATTAAACAGGAACTGACACTTTCAAACCAGGAACAGAACTTCGTTATGATCATTCAGAGACTGCATGGCCATCTGTCCCGGCAAGTTTGGTTGCATACTTGTTCCTGGGAACAGCGGAGTAAAGTTCCTGGATTATACATGTCTATTCCTCATTGCTTTTATCATAAAAGCATGGAGAATGTTTATATTACATGGCAAAACCTTTGTGTGTCACAAACTTCATTAAATGTATGGAGGACAAAGTTTCTCTTGCCAGGATAAAGTTTTCGTCCTTTACTCAACTGTTGCCATGTTTTTAGGATGCAAACAATCAGGAACTGACATGTATAACCCAGGAACAAACCAACATAAAAAATCCCGTTTTCCAAGTGTAGGAACATACAGAGATTCGAATATCTGAATTTTCTGGCCAGAACAGGGATATTCCTGCAACTGAAAAGCTTGTGTTTTTAGTGCTTTGTAGTGATTCCTCCTGTGTTTTCAGGGGACGTCATTTGGCCACCTACCTTTTTGAACCGGGAGCTCCTGAGATAAAGGTACTGTGTGGATGGGCCCTGGGTTATCAGAGTCCAAACTGCCATATAATCCAGTTCAATGTGGATTTTATACAGCTGTGTGGAAGGGGCCTTAGATAATCCAGTTCAAAGCCAATATTGTGGATTATCTGTCTTGATATTCTGGGTTATATGGCTGTGTGGAAGGGCCCTTAGGAGGCTTGGCAGTTCAAATGGCGTTAGCATCAATTCTACATTGTAGATCAGGCATGAGCAAACTTACGCCCTCCAGATGTTTTGGATTTCAACTCCCACAATTGCTAACAGCCAGCGGGAGTTGAAGTCCAAAACACCTGGAGGGCCAAAGTTTGCCCATGCCTGGTGTAGAGGCATCCTTTTACAAAGTTGGATTATGAGGCAGCCTTTTAAAAAACCCACAAAGCCAGAATTATTTTCTAAAAGCATTTTAAGCCTGAGGCCAAAAGCGATGACATTGGTGCCACTTTTAATGGATGTCTCAAAACCTGTATCATTTCTTGTGAAAATACCTAGGTACTCGTTTCCTGGTTTCAACAGGGTTGTGGCCTGTGATCCGCTCACTCCAATTCATCTTCACACAATGATCTCTGTTCTCTTGAATGGCTCCACCTGCTTTTCCTTTGTGTCCTCTTTGCTCCATTGAATGTGAGTCAGGTTTTTCTCTTCTTAAAACACTTCTCAAAACCCTCCCTTTTATTTGAAGGCTGTGAGTGGATTCCTTGAAGTGCATGGCCCTGTTATTTCAGAAGCACCTGCACTATAGAAATACAGGCAGCCCCCAAGTTACAAACAAGATAGCGCCTGCAGGTTTGTTCTTAAGTTGAATTTGTTTATAAGACGGAACAGGTGCATTTTGTAAGTGTAGGTAAAGGTTTTCCCCTGACATTAAGTCCAGTCGTGTCCGACTTGGGGGTTGGTGCTCATCTCAATTTCTAAGCCGAAGAGCTGGCGTTGTCCATAGACACCTCCAAGTTCATGTGGCCAGTATGACTGCATGGAGCGCTGGAACGGTACCTATTATCTAATCACATTTGCATGTTTTCTAACTGCTAGGTTGGCAGAAACTGGAGCTGACAGCGGAAGCTCATGCCACTCACCGGATTCGAACCTGTGACCTTTCGGTCAACAAGTTTAGCAGCTCAGCAGTTTAACCCACTGCACCACTGGGGGCTCCCAGTGAAATTTTAAGTGTAATTCCACTCAAATATATGTATCTTAGCTTTGGATAGTCTAGGGAAGGGTTAACACCCTTGTGGAGTTCATTTTGCTATTTGTGCCCCTGTTCAGAAGGTTTCACCTCACTTTCTGTCCCTGTGATAATTGGATTTTGAATAAATTGGCTTGTGGAAAAAAGGATTGGTGAGAAAGCTTCAGTGAGACCCCTTTCCCCCATGATAACCCTTTCAGGAGTGAATTTCCCTTCCTTGAGGTAGATGTATCTCACTTCCTGTTGATGCACCTCCTGTTCTTAACTAGGAGTCGTTAATATGTTGTCAAACAACTCACCCCAACCTGAGATTTATAGTTCACCAAGAGCACTTAAGCCAAATAAGATGAAATAATTTCTTTTCCCTTTTCCGCAAGGTCACCGTGACTCCCGCAATGGACAAGCAGCAGCAGATCTCCCTCATTTCTCATTAGATAGATAGATAGATTTGTATTAGAACATGTACAGACCAGATCTGCAGTGGTGAGTCTCTTGCAAAGGCAAAAGCTCCCCAACCTTTTATTAGGATATATCTTTCCTTACTGTCTCTGCCTCCATTATATCAGCTTCTGCTCATATTGTATCTTTATTGTTTATTCCATATATATATGGCATGGTTCGGTACCGTCGGAATCTTCGTAATTCAGAATGAAGTCGTAAAAATTACCTTTTTGAAGCGATTTCGAAGTTTTAAAGAAAACCAGAAGTCTCTTTGCCCTTCCTAAGATTTTTCCACCATTTTTGTTACAAGTCATGAAGTGAGTCAGAAATGATTCAGCTTTTTCCCGTTTCTGGTCCCTGGCCTCGGTTCAAGCCAGAGAAGCCAATTTTAAACCAGAGAAGGAAGGAATTTCCTCCGCTTGCTTTTCCCCGCTTCTGGTCACTGACCTTGGCTCAAGCCAGAGAAGCCAGTTTTAAACCAGAGAAGAAAGGAATTTCCCCTGCTTGCTTTTCCCTGCTTCTGGAGTAAAACAACTACTTTCAAAGTAAAGACCACCCAATGAAACAGGAAATAGCACTTTCAATCATTAACAAAAGGATTTGGAAGTCTCAGAAGATTCGAAAAGTTTTGAATATTTTTTCCCATGAAAATTGGAATTGACTTTAGAATCGAACCACCAGCACCCTCTACATCCGAAACGAGTTTTGAACCTTTTTTTGGGATCAACCAAGATATATATATATATATATATGGAATAAACGATAAAGATACGATATGAGCAGAAGCTGATGTAATGGAGGCAAAGAGCCCAGGCTTGGATGCTGATCTTGGGTACTGACAGGCAGGACCGTAAGCCAGAAAAATATTTCGGGGAGGTGTGAGATTGATTTTTCTTTTTAGCGAATCATGAGAAGTAGTTCCATAACACAAAATAATTTAAATAGTTTGATTAATTCTATATTTTATATAGACTTAATTAATTTTCTCATCTCCTTCATGGGGAGCTTCAAATCCCTCCCATATCTTAGGCTTTACCTACCAGTTGTGGGTGGGCCAACTTGGTGGCTTCCACTATATTAGCTATTTCTGCAAGTAATGACTGTGAATTAATTGTCAAAATTTGCTTGAGATAGTGCCAGCAGTTCTGGTTTAATTTTTGCTTCTCATAGACTTAGCAGGGGATTTGGTTAACCCAGTGGTTCTCAACCTGGGGTCCCCAGATTTTTTGGCCT